ATTGGCGTTATCCTGGTCGCTCTTAACATTAACCTTCTTATGCCCCAGCCTGCTCAGGTCCGCCGCCATGGCCCTCACTGGATAAAGACATTTCATGTCACTAATCTCCAAACACTTGCGGGGCACCGGGCGGGCGAATGGGCTTCGCCTTCCTGTCGAAACCAATCGGCGCCGGCATGTCCTTGCCTGCCGCCGCCTCGAACAGCGCCTCGCCAGGTCACCAAAGAACCCATGAGGTCGACGGAGTTGGCGCTGCACCCCTCCCGCGACCTGCCCTGCTCGCAACGCGGGCTGCTCTTAGCTCCCCCGCGCGCGCGGGCCGCGCACCGCGACTTAAAAGACAACTGAGAAACCTCACGATCCTCAATCATCTGCCTCGTCGGCTTCGGGGGCGACACCATCGCCCTCGGAGCAGCGCCTTCCTCGCCCACCAGGGGCTGCATGCTCGATGCCGCAGCCGCGCCCCCGACTGGCGACGCCGACCCTGCATCCGCCGCCGCGTGCTCGTCGGCGATGGGGCACGCGCACTGGGCCAGCCCAACTGCTCGGCATGCCGTTCAAAGCGCTGGGCGTCCTGATCAGGGGCCTTGATCCAGGCCGGACGCACATTGATGCCGTCCTTCTCGGGAACGCGCATGCCCTGGCCCGTCTCGCAGTTGTAGATCCCGCTGCCGCCATTCGACTCAGAGTCGAACAACGCGCGGCTGCTTGCCTCAACCATCATGTCGCGGCCGCTCTGGACGCCGCAGACGAACTCCTTCTCGCCGCCCTTGACGGCGGCACGTTTCGACGCCGCCTTGCGCAAACGGGGGGGGGCATCCACGCGCGGCGGGCGCTGCGCAGCCACCGCCCTAGGTAACATGCTGGCGGACGCCCCAGTCGATCGCTATGTCGGCGCGCCCCCGCCCCTCACGTTGCCACCTCCTCCATGACCCCCGCGATGAGGATGCGTCGCGCCATGGACTCAGCACGCGCAACTCCCCCTCTTCACGGTCACGCCCCTTCTGGCGCTTGATTCGCTCGAGCCGCGCCTCCTCCACGTCAAACTTCCGCCGCTGCCGCGCGCTCGGAGGCAGCTCCCACGACCTCGGCTGGAACCTCAAACTGGACTCGTCGTCCAGAGTGAAGTCCTGGAGCTGATCGCGGCCGAAGGCCCTGCAAGTCCTCTCGCGCTTCCCAGGGGCCGCCCTGCACAGCTTCAGCCGCGCCTCACCTGCGACCCAGCCCCTAGACCCCGCCCCCCATGACTGCCTCGCCGTCGCGCGCGGCGCTGCACCTCGCCACGTCGTTGTCGATGCAGCTGCGGTCGCCGTCCTCTAGCTCCGCATCATGCTTGGCGTGCCACGCGGCCTCGGCCTCCAGTCTCTCCTGCGCTCTGCCGCTAGCTCCTGCCTGTCGCTTTGCTTATACTCGCTTCCTGCTGTGCCTTCCCCCTGGCCCATTCATGCTCGTGCCCAGCGCGCGCGTCTGCCCAGCACCTCGCCGAGTACTTCATGCAAATACCATTCCTATGCTGCGCCGCGTCCTCCAGGATCTGCTGCGCCTGCCCAATCTTGCGGTAGACCATCTCGAGCGTCGCGCCCGCGCACGCGTGCTTGGCGACGTCTTTCAGGCGATGCTGCTCCACCGAAGCGATGCCCGAGATCTCGCCTAAGACTCGGCGCTTGCCTTCGTCGGTAATCCCCGAGGCGATGTCGGCGGCCGCAGCCACGCGACGATGTGGAAGAAGGTACTTATCCCGACAACTTGCGGGTCGCTGGCTCGACGTCGAAGCCGCTTCCGGAGCTGCCCGTCCGGAGACTTGGTCGTCGGCTCGAAAACGGAGCCGCGCCCCTAATGAATGCCTCATCCTCCTTCTCGTCGTCCACGCCGCACTCGTCGTCAACATTCTTCGCCTTCCTTCTCGAAACGGCCGCCCTAGGGGATAGGGGCAAAGCCGGAGTCCTGCCCTGCCCTAGTCCGCCGGTCAGCGCCTGGAGCCAGTCGAACAGGTCGGCCCACGACTGCTTCATGGACGCGCAGGGGGGCGGCGTTGTCGACGCGCTCCTGGACGAAGCCGCTGGCGAAGAACTGCAAGAAAGGGACTCCTGCTCGTCCAACGCGCTCTTGGTCACGGACCCCTCCGCCCGCACCATCATGAGGAGTCTGCTCGTCTCCCCGGTTGCCGTCGCCGAGCCTTCCGACGGGCACGTCTGCTCGCTGAGCTCATGCGCGCCGCCACCGCCATTACGACAGCCGCCGCCGCCGCGGCCACCCTTCAGCGTGCCCTTGACCTGCCTTTTCGGGTCCCCCTTCGGCACGTCCTGCATGGGCGCGAGCGGGTTGCCGCTGACGTCCGTCTCGCTGTAACAGTCGGCTCGTTTATGGCCCCATCTCCAGCACCTTCCGCACTAACCTTGAAATTTGTGTTCTCCGCGTCCGTCTTCCACACTACCGCCGGTGGTCTTGACACTGTCCTTACCTTTACCTTTTCCTCCGTCCTTGCCCTTACCTGTCCCGTTGCCTCCGTCTTTACCTTTGCCATAAGCTTTGCCTCATTTGGGTTTTTCTTCGGGGCCGAAGCTTCCAATATCCATCGACGTGGGCCCCGTTCGTGCCACGCTCTGCTCCACGTAGCGCTCGATATCCAGCTTGAGCGCCTCGTAGGTCTACAAACGCCCAACTTTGAGGTTCAGGTGCTCGGACAATACGTCCAGGCACATCGCCTCGAGCGTCGCGCGCTTCATGGTCGTTCAGTTCCTCCTCGGCCCTCTCCTTGTAGTGTACGCAATTCTGCTCCACTGCTCTATGGCGGATAACAGCTTGTCGGTTGAGACCTGGGCTGGCCTCAAGATCTTGAGCAATAGGCGCAAGTTGGCACTTGGGTTGCGGGGGTCATACTTCCGGCTCTCCGCCACCCGTCTAAGCTTTGAGTTTTGCGCGTGTTTTGATGAGGTCGAAGGCGGTAGTCCCAGTAGTCATATATGAAACCATTATGGCGTGTAAAGCCCGATTGAGCTCCATCGCTTTGGGCAGCTCGTCCATGACGTCGCTGATCTTGACGTCATCGATCGGCTCTGCGCCAGCGCCCGCTGCCCATTCCAGCAGCTCCTCGGCGTTCTCGTACTGGCTGGACAGCCAGGTCACGAACCTCCACGACCATCCAGCCCAATCACCCTCCTTACCCCTGAAGCTCACTGGCTTCTGCACGGCCTTTGAATCTACCAGGCCCTCGCGTCTGCGAGTCGCGGTCTCCTGGCGCAGGAAGTCCGCGTTAGCTTGCACTGCTGCCTGCAGCGCCGCGCTCTGCTCCTGAAGCTGCCTGGCCAAGCCGGCCATCGCTTCATCCGAGGGCTGCTGGGTAGCCGTCATGGCAGCTTGTTGCTGCCGCAGCGTATCCGACATCTGGGTGAAGGCTGCGAGCACCTGCTGTTTGTCATGCTGCCGAGCTGCACGAGGGCACGAGGCTCGAATCCGTAGCCTCGGCCTCTACGCCATCCCGCGGCCGCCCGCGGGAATGAGGCGAGTTGTGGGGACGACCCGCTTCGCTACCATCAACGATCTTTTTCGATCCACTCGTACCGAAATGGCTATGTAAAGCCATGCTTCCTGACTGGCAAAATTCTTCAGAATCGTGCTCCCGCTACAGCGCTGGCGTCATTGTTTCCAGTGCCATGCCACGGCATGGTTTTCGGTCCTTCCAGGTAGGCCCAAACAACTAGAAAATGCCCCCCCAAAAAACCATCGGGAGTGATTCCACATTCGGTGTCGACTCGTTGATTGTTTGAGCCGCAGAAGCCCCCACTTTGGAACGTCGCCACGCCATGCTATCTCATGCTATGCGTTGATCCTCAACACCATGCCATGCCATGCCATGCTATGCCATGCTACGACATCCGACTGTGCGAAATGAGAGGAGATCTACGCCATGGTAAGGGATGGGAAGGAGGGGTAGGACATCAGATATGACGCGAGCGCACCTAAATAGCTTGCCCCTTCCCCCTCCCACTTCTCCCCCCCCTCTACGAAGCCTTCCCCCCTCCCCCATCCCCCTGCCGCCTCTGCGCGTGGCCGACTGCTCACAGCCGCCACCCCAGGCCACCTCACGCCGTTGACAAAAATCGCGACGGACTCCGTCGCGATGTTTGTGGGGCGATGCGAGGCTTGTAGCTGGCCCGAGCGACAAGATGCGGGTGCGGGTGCACGGGCTGGTGGAGAGGGCCTGCGGTGGCGACGAGGATCAGAGGCATTGCTTGGGGGGTTAAGTTCAAGGGGGATTGGGACGCGTCGCCCCAGATCCTCCGGGATTTGGAGTCCCGAAGCAGTGCGGTGACAGACCGTGCGGTGACCTCGGAATCCCCGAAGAACTCACCGCACGGTCCGTCACCGCACGGTCTTGGCACCCCAGAAGCCCCTGTCGCCCGAGACGTCCTCGGAGAGGGCCTCGAGTCCCAAAACCGTGCGGTGCCGAATCCCCACCGACTCACCGCACGGTGTGGTCACCACCCCGTTTGGGGACTCCCGACGGGAGGATCTGGGGCCACTCTCCGGATCCGCTCTCCACGGCCCCGGGGCCCAAAAACGGCCCCTGGAGACCGAGAAAGGCAAAAAGAACGTCCCGATTCCAGCCTGCTGGCCGGAGCCAGTGCTGGGCCACCTCAGACCCCCAGCCCCAGCCGGCTCCAGGGAAAACGTTGGTCAAGTCGGGGGCGACCACGGCCGCACACACACGCACACACGCACACACACACACACACAGAAAACATAGATACAGACACGGTAGTGGTGCGCTGCGGAGCACAACCTGCCCACATTGGGGAGACCAAAAAGGTACCGATGCCGCTACTCCCCGGACCTCTCCCGAGGTGCGTTCTGACCAGGATTTCGAGGCGAATCCAGCAGTGGCGACGAGGGCCTCCCAGGAGGCCCGAAAAGAGGAAAGCGGGCGAATGGTATAGCTTTAGCTATGGATACCTCTTCCTCCTCCGACGCACCCTGCGGCTTGTGCTGCTGCCGCCGTCCTTGAAGCCGTGTCGCGCCGCGAGCTTCGCCCCCTCGGGGTCGAGCCTGCGGCTGGCGCCGGTGGGCAGCGTGGGCTCGCTGGCGCGCGCACGTCTCGCCGACGCTCGGAGGTCGCAGCTCCGTTCGCAGCGGGCGATTGTGCCCCCCCCCATGCCCTCGCGGCCGCGATTGTGCCCCCCCCCCCCTGCCCTCGCGGCCCTCCTCCCTACCCAATCAAGTCCGCGGGCCCTGTCGGCGTGCGCGAGAAACCTGTGACGCCCTCGCAGAGCCCGCCCCTCCTATCCTTTGTGCCACACACACACAAAATCAAATCCACATACAGGGAAGCGTCCTTCCTGATTTGCCTTCCCCACCAGGGGGGGGGGGGCCCGGGGAAGGGGGGGGCGGGGGGGGGCCCAGGGCGGGGAGGCCCCTCCACCGAGCAACTCAGAGGCCCCTCCCGTCCTTACCTCCATCTCCTGCCTCCTCGCCTTCCTCCGTCCCTCGCCGTCACCCATGCCCGACACATCCCCGCTCGTCCTGCCCATTCCGTCTGCCCTAGAGGACCCCCCTAGGGACCCAAGACGCAAAACAAGCAACAAGCTACCAAGGGTAAACCCAAGTGTTCAGCGTTCACGACATCAAGACGGTCAAGAGGCCTCCAAGATCGCCCCAAGATGGCCTAACGGGACCCAATGATAACCCGAATACAGGCCAAGAGAGCCTCAAGGCGGTCCAAGAGGCTCCCAAGAGGATCCCAAGAGGGGCCAAAGAGCGGGAACACGACAAGCCAAGCCTCTCGACCCCAAGAGGTCGCCCAGAGACCCCCGAGAGGCTCTCATCGGGCACCCAAAGAGCCCCCAGGAGGGCCCTAAGGAGCCCTCCCAGAGGTCTCCGAAGGGCACCCCGAGATGCCTTGTTATGCAGTCACGAGGCCTCTGGTCAAGGACCCAGGCAAGGTGGCGGGATGGGCCGAAGGCATCCACCTCCTCCTCCTCCGCCTCCTCCTGATCTTCCCCGCCATCCTCCCCCAAGTGTTCCCCGAAGGGTTTCCACAACGGCTTGGGGAACACATGGTCCGATAGCTTGGCAGAGCTCTTGCCACAACACTCGCCCACAAGGGCGATCCTTGGAGGCAGGTGGCGGCGATGATTCGGCGTAGGCATCTTCGATAGAGGTGGCCCGGTGGTTTTTCTCCAACCTCGGAGTGCTGTTCAAACCGTTTTGGGATGATCGTCGGTCTGCCTTCGTGCGCTCGTCGGCTGCCTCGCGGCCTTCCCGGGGCCTCCTGATCCGCCTGCACGGTCGGCGGCCTGCCGTAAGGACTCTCCAAGAAGTTCCATCCCGCTTCTGTGAGATCCATCGCTCTAACTACATAGCTATACTATACATGCATATCCCTGTATATATATATATATATATAAAGAGACACATATACATATATAGATATATATATATATATATATATACACACATATATAATCTGCATACATATAGATATGTGCATATCCGCCGGCCCCCTTGTGGGGCCACCAGGCTGTAGGCCGGAAGTTCGCAGTTTCCTGTACCAGTTGCAGCTTCCAGTTTCCACTGTTACAGTTCTGCTTCTTGCTGCTTTCTGTGCCTTGTTACAAATCTGCTTCTTGCTGCTTACTGTTCCTTGTTGATGGACCGCGCGAAGGGGGGAGGCCCAAAACGGGCACTTTTACCACGCCCAAATCGTATGGTCTGAATTGCTGGGGTGGGAAACAATTGACACCCCTCACGCAGATCGGCGGGGTCAGCGTAAAAACACCAAAGATTTGCCACATTTCTAAAAATTCGGTGGCACCCCTCACGCAGATCGGCGGGGTCTGGGTGCAAAAACACAAATGCTTTGCCACATGTTTCAAATTCGGTGGCACCCCTTACGCAGATCGGCGGGGTCAGGGTCCAAAAACACATTGGATTTGCTACATTTCTGACATTCGGCGGCACCCCTCACGCAGATCGGCAGGGTCAGGGTCCCAAAAAACATTGGATTTGCCACATTTCTGAAATTCGGCGGCACCCCTCACGCAGATCCGCAGGGTCAGGGTCTAAAAACACATGGGATTTGGCGCATTTCCCAAATCCGGTGGCACCCCTCACGCAGATCGGAAGGGTCAGGGTCCAAAAAAAAATGGGAATTGCCACATTTCTCAAATTCGGCGGCACCCCTCACGCAGATCGGCGTGGTCAGGGTCCAAAAACACATGGGATTCGGCACATTTCTAAAAATTCGGTGGCACCCCTCACGCAGATCGGCGGGGTCAGGGTCCAAAAACGCATGGGAATTGCTACATTTCTGAAACTCGGTGGCACCCCTCACGCAGATCGGCGGGGTCAGGGTCCAAAAACACACGGGATTTGCCACATTTCTAAAAATTCGGTGGCACCCCTCACGCAGATCGGCGGGGTCAGGGTCCAAAAACAAACAGGTCCCGACACTGCTTCACGGCGAAGCCAAAGCCTCATGACTTCGCTCCTCCATGGCCCATTCTCCGAGAGAGGGGGCCGGCGGCAGGGGGCGAGGCCCTTACGGAGATATATGTATACTAGAACCACGCGCGCTTCGCGCGCGCTTAGGTTCTGTCGAGTCACAAACCCAGGAATCGTTGTGAGAAGAAATTGGTGACGCGAAGCGTCGTGGGGGCGTCCTTGGACGTCTGGGGTCTCCTGGGGCCTCTTGAGGGGCCTCCTTGGGGCCTCCTGGCGGCCTCTTGGGGCGGAAGGCTCGAGCTTGCGGTTCGTGGTCCCCCTCTGGGCCCCCTCTTGGGCCCGTCTTGGGGCCCTCTTGGGCCATCTTGGGCGCCTCTTGGGCCGTCTTGGGGCCCTCTTGGGCTGTCCTGGGGCCCTCTGGGAAGCTTCTTGGGCCGTCTTGGGGCGGTCTTGGGCGCCTCTTGGGCCGTCCTGTAACGTCGGAAAGCCCAAAAGACAACTTTGTTGAAAATGTACGTTTTACGAAGGGAATGGGCCAATTTTTGCGTCTAGGGGCCCTCTTGGGACGCATGTTGGAGGCTTCTTGGGGCCTCTTGGGGGCGTCCTTGGACGTCTGGGGTCTCCTGGGGCCTCTTGAGGGGCCTCCTGGGGGCCTCCTGGCGGCCTCTTGGGGCGGAAGGCTCGAGCTTGCGGTTCGTGGTCCCCCTCTGGGCCCCCTCTTGGGCCCGTCTTGGGGCCCTCTTGGGCCATCTTGGGCGCCTCTTGGGCCGTCTTGGGGCCCTCTTGGGCTGTCCTGGGGCCCTCTGGGAAACTTCTTGGGCCGTCTTGGGGCGGTCTTGGGCGCCTCTTGGGCCGTCCTGTAACGTCGGAAAGCCCAAAAGGCGACTTTGTTGAAAATGTGCGTTTTACGAAGGGAATGGGCCAATTTTTGCGTCTAGGGGCCCTCTTGGGACGCATGTTGGAGGCTTCTTGGAGCCTCTTGGGGGCGTCCTTGGACGTCTGGGGTCTCCTGGGGCCTCTTGAGGGGCCTCCTGGGGGCCTCCTGGCGGCCTCTTGGGGCGGAAGGCTCGAGCTTGCGGTTCGTGGTCCCCCTCTGGGCCCCCTCTTGGGCCCGTCTTGGGGCCCTCTTGGGCCATCTTGGGCGCCTCTTGGGCCGTCTTGGGGCCCTCTTGGGCTGTCCTGGGGCCCTCTGGGAAGCTTCTTGGGCCGTCTTGGGGCGGTCTTGGGCGCCTCTTGGGCCGTCCTGTAACGTCGGAAAGCCCAAAAGACAACTTTGTTGAAAATGTACGTTTTACGAAGGGAATGGGCCAATTTTTGCGTCTAGGGGCCCTCTTGGGACGCATGTTGGAGGCTTCTTGGGGCCTCTTGGGGGCCTCCTTGGACGTCTGGAGGCCATCTTCAGCATCTCGGAGCCCTCTTGGAGGCCTCTTGGAAGTTTCTTGGGCCGTCTTGGGCGCTTCTTGGGCCGTCTTGTCTGACTGGGGAGGCCTCCGGCAAGCCCCGACGAGCCTCCGGGCCCCCCGGGGCGCACATTTGTGGTCGAGGTCCCGGCCCCGGGCCCCCGGACCCGGTGCGCCGTTATATGTATGTATATATATATATATATATATATATATATATATACATATATACATATATAGCACTGTCTCTACCTCTCTCTCTCTCTCCCTCCATCCGTCCCTCCCTCTCCCTCCCTATCTCTCGTAACATCACTCTCACCCTGTCCCTTCTCACCTCATGGCAGACAGGGGGACCCTTGGCTTGACTGGCCCGGAGAAGTCTAGCTCAACCATCTTTTGGCGCAGGCAACATGGATAAGAGCACTGCGGCGTGGTCAACCTGCTACTCATGGCTGCTTGCAGGGTGAAAATCAAAGCCTACGCGTGCTAGGCTTTATCCCGTTTCCCAGCTTCCACTGATTCAATCGGATGGGTAGTGAATTGAGGCGACGCGGTGCAGGATGGGAGCAGGAGTCGGATTAAGTCTTCTGCCTCGAACAAGAGGTGCGGCAGCAGCACATTGAAAACAAGACACCAGGCAAGTTACGAGTGCGGCTCTTGGTCTCCGTCGCGCGGCATGGACGGTGATGCTTCGAGATCCGATGTCAGCCTCGTAGATGAACGTTTACGACACGCGTGTCAAGTAGCTGCTCCGGCTCTTTAAATCATCTTGGGACCCCCGGTGCTCCTAGCAACGAGCTAAGAACCAAGATCGTCAAAAAGGGAGCGTCCAAGACGGGGGGCGCAAATCATGGCCGGCGGCATGTGCGCGGCCCAGGGGGGGACCAGGGTCGTATTGAAGTAAGAAGAGTCGCCATGAAATCGGGAGAAATATCATGGTCCTCACCATGATATCCAACACCCCTAGTCATCACCCCCCTATTGGCCGCCCTCGAAAGAAGCAAGGGCGTCCTGGCGTCGAGGCTCGTGCGGGCAACCACGCCCGCATCGTCGAACTCCAAACATTCCTCCACCGAGGGCGACGGGCGGTTGTCTACTTCATCGAGCGCCCACCAAAACGATATGATTATCTGTCTGTATCCATATATACCCCACAGCTGCAACTGTCGGAGAGGGAGGGCGTCGCCAATACGACATAGGAGCGATGTCAAAAAGCCCCGAAAATCACATGGCGCTGAAAGGGCGCCCCTTTTACGGCTTCGATTGCGCAGATGGTGCACGTGTCACCCCCCGTACTTGCGCGTGAACATATGAACGATCAACTGTGCGTGCACAGGCGCTTATTTACGCTACAAGTGTCCGTGTCTGCGTATGGGTATGAGGCAGGCGAATTCAAGCCCGTTAGCCCCCTGGGGTACTTGGCTCCAAACTTCGGGTAGACACCAGCGGTACGCGGAAATTGTGTGAGCATTGTGTGTGTTCTGTCGTTTGTGCCGCCCCCTGTTTCCTACAACTCCTGCCCTGTCAACTTTCTGCTGGCTGCTCGCAAGGCCAAGCCGCGAATGGCTACCGCCTGGGTGCAAAATTTGCGCGCGTACTGTAGCCGTTGTAGATCGGCCGGGCCTAGGGACGCTACCACTGTAGGACTCCGAGGGGCAGATAAAGACTGCAAGAGACCGCATCGGGGGGGGGAGGAGCCAAGGCGGGTCTGAAATGGCCCGAAGATGCCTCCAAGACAGCCCACGACAGCTCCCACGGTCCACCCAGAAGGCTCAAAGGGCCTCAAAGATGCTGCAAGAGGGCTCGCTCCGAGAGAACCGCCCAGATGGCCCCAGGAGCCAAACATGTATCCTGTCTCAGGGAAACCTATATGTGTTGCTTGCATACTCGCTCTCTGTGTCTGCACGGCGTCCAAAGCTGCCAAAGAGGCCCACAATATCGGCCCAAGAAGACCGCGCAAGAGGCTTCCAAGAGGGCCCCAAGACAGCCCAAGAGGCCCCAAGACAGTCCAAGAGACCTCGCAGGCGGCCTATGATGGCCCCAAGAGAGCCCCAAGAGGGCCCAAGAGGGAGAACACGAACTGACAGTTCGAGCCCTCCGCCCCAAAAGGACCTCCAAGACCGCCGACAGGCCTCTCCAAGAAGCCCCCAGAAGACCCTTAGAGGTCCCCAAGAGATCCAACATTGGTTGCAACAGCCAAAACAAACAGCAATGTGCACCCCAGATGCCCTCCCAGAGGCTCCCAGAGGAGCGCACCAAAATCTTCCCGATCAAAGAATTTCGAAAGGATTCCCATGTACAGGTGAGGCAGTCAAGCTAGCCGTCCAGTTGTCTGCGGTCCAGATGAACTCCGAGGCCGTCCTCTTGCTACCCAGCCCCCGCTTGCTTCCGATGCAACTCGCGATCATGATGCAATTGAGCGACCTGATCCCCTCGCGTCGTGAAAACAACGACAGAAGGGGTGCTACTTTCGGCATCCAGGCCCTCGCCAAGAGGGCTGCCAAGCCTTCAAGAAGCTCCAAGGGCGAAAGATCCGCAAACGCCTAAATGCTTGACTCCTGTCGTCGTCGTAGTGTATGTCCCTCCCATTCTTGACCCGCAGCCCAGGCGCGCTGGCCGGATGGGCCACAGGCCATTAGATATATCGATTCAACTCAAATCTGTTCTACACACTCTGGCATGCCCTACTCCCTACTATTATATTAGGGTGAGGAGGCCGAACAGTCATTCATTATCCCTGGGCGCGTAGCTGAAGTGGGGCTCCGCGGCGTGAATTATTGTTGGGTTGTTGCTGCATTGCTCGTGCATTGATACTGCGCTGTTGTTGCTGTAGCGATCGTCCTCACCCGCGATCCCCCCCGCGACCCACCCCGCGACCAACCCGCGACCCCCCCCACGACCCACCCCGTGCCCGCCCCCCCACTCGCATCGGAAACTGCGGGGTGCGACGTATTCTCTCATTCTGACCGTGGGCGCCGCACTCTCTCTCTCTCTCTCTCTTTCTCGCATTCGTCTCTCTGCTTGTCCCCCCTCTCTCTCTCTTTCTCTTCTCGCTCTCTCTCTCTCTCTCTCTTTCTCTCTCTCTCTCTCGCTGTCTACCTCTCCCCCCCCCTCCCCCCTCTCTCCCTTTCTGTCTCATACGAGACTGCTAGAAACAGCTCCCCTATGAACTCTATCTCTCCCTCTCTCCCTCTGACATACATCGATACAAAAACTCTCTGTTCTCTCAAATCCACTATATCTACTCTGTGATATGTACTCTCTACCTGGAGATCCAAGGACTGGGAACCAGGGAACCTGGCTGCCCGTCGAAATCAGCCCAGAGCCTGGAAGCAGGAACTTGGAAACCTGGACGCCCAGCCGATCTGTTGATCTGCCGATCAGCCGACGAGCAGCCGATCAGCCGCCGAGCGACCGATCAACCGATCAGTCTTATCGGCTCATCGGCTGCTCGGCGGCTGATCGGCCAGATCAAAAAATAAACCTGTGAAGCCGTCGCAGTGATTGATCGTGCCACGTAGATTGCACGACGCATAACGCACCGCATAGCTTGCACCATACTCAAATCGCAAATCGATCATGCTGGGACATGCTGTTTGGGGTCCACGTGCTGGTATCCTTTAATTCCGAACAACCGTTCTTGTGAGATAATGGATTTGCCACCTGTCAAGAAGACTACCCCCTCTGGCTCCCCTCCGCTCCACTCCCTCATAGTTTTGGTCAGTCCACCTCAGACTGTACACAGGCGTTAGACAGTCAGAACAAAAAAAACAATATGCCATCAGATCCTGGATGGCCGATGAACTGCACACGCAAGCTCTTACAGCCTGATCCCCCGAGCCTGCCCTCAGTTCTGAGGAATCAACTGCGGACCCGGACCCAAATTTCCAAAATCTCTTGGGGCTTGTCGCGTTCCCCATCCGGCGATTCTCCCCGCGTGACTTTTTCGGACCCAGGGCCCCGAAACGGGCCAAGTGGGCCCCAAGCGGACTCCAAGAATGTCCAAGAGCGCCCAAACAAATCGGCCCAAGACGCCAAAGACGCCTCCAAGACGCCCCAAGAGGCCTCCAAGAGGCCTCTCAAGTAGGCCCCAAGAGGCAAGCATCAGTGACTTTCTGTGGGTTCTTGAAAGATTTGGGCGTTCTCGCCTTTCGGCTTTCCGACGCTCCAAGACGGCCCAAGAGGCCTCAAAGACCATCCCCCAACGCGGCCCAAGAGAACTCCGACAGGGCCCCAAGACGGCCTTAGTGCGCCCCAAGGCGGCTCAAGAGGGAACACGAGCCGAAAATCCGAGCCGTCCGCCCCAGGAGGTTCGAAGCTGGCCCAAGACGGCCCAACAGGCCTCCAAGAGGGCCTCCAGGAAGGCCAGAAAAGACAAAAAAACACAGATCTTCCCTAAGTGTTTTAAGGATTTTGACATTTGCTTCTTTTCGGCCTTCCGACGGCCCGAGACGGCCCAAGAGCCCCCAAAGATCGCGCCAAAGATCGCCCAAGAGGCCTCAAAGATGGCCCCAGAACGGCCCAAGAGGCCCCCAAGACGGCCCCAAGAGGCCCCCAAGAGGGCCCAAGAGGCCCCCAAGACGGCCCAAGAGGCCTTTAAGACGCCCAAGATGGCCTCCAAGACGGCCCTGGAGCATTCCAAGAAGGCCGCCCAAGTCGGCCCATTGAGGCCCCCCAAACGGCTTCGGACGGCGTCAGACGGGCCAGGAGCCCACCAAGACGGCCGAAGATGACCCTGAGATGGCCCAACACGGCACAAGAGGCCTCCAAGAGGGCCTCCAGGAAGGCCAGAAAAGGCCAAAATCTCTCCCATGAGTGTTTGAAGGATTGTGGCATTTGCTTTTTTGTCGGCCTTCCGACGGCCCGAGACGGCTCAAGTGCCCCCAGAGATCGCCCAAAAGGCCCAAGACGGCCCCAAGAGGCCCCCAAGACGGCCCAAGAGGCCTGCAAAACGCTGAAGATGGCCTGCAAGACGGCCCAAAAGACCTCCAGGACGTCCTCCAAGAAGGCCCGGAAGGATCAAAATGGCCTCCAGGCGGCCAAGATGACCTTTCAGATGCCCACGTGTTCCCCGAAGGTTTTCCAAAACAACTCGGGGAACACATAATCCGATAGCTTGGCAGGTCTGGCCTTAACGTTCAGCCACATAGGCGCTTCCAAAAAGGCAGGGGGCGGCGGTGATTCGCCGTAGGCGTCTTCGATCAGCCGCCCCCTGTAGGCTTGCCACAGGGGTGCCCGGCGTGCTAGATCCTTTCGATTTGGATGTTGCTTCTTTTCCACAAAAACTCCCCCTGGGGCTTCGGCCGATACCGCCAGGGTCCCGGAAAGGCCCCGCAACCACCTCAACGACCGCAAAAAAAATCCAAGACGGCTCAAGATGGCCTCTAAGATGGTCAAGATGGCCTCCAAGATGGCCCAAGATGGCCTCCAAGTCGCCAAAGATGGTCCAAGATGGCTTCCAAGACGGCCCGAGAGAGTCCGAGGTGTCTTCAAGTGCGTCCAAGAAGCCTCCAAGACGGCCCAAGATGGTTCCAAGATGGCCTGAGACTGGCCAAGAGGCCCCCAAGAGGCCTCCAAGACGTCCTCCAGGAAGGCCCGAAAGGGCAAAAATCATTGATGTTCCTTTGGTGTTTGAAGGATTTTGGCATTTTCTTCTTATCAGCTCTCCGACGGCCCAAGACGACCCAAGAGGCAGCCCCAAGAAGAGCCCAAGACGGCCCAAGATTGCCCCGAAGACGCCGAAGATGGTCTCCAAGACGGTCAAGATGGCCCAATTGACCCCCAGAGTACCTCAAGAGGCTCCCAAGAGGACTCTTTCTTCCTGCCCCTTTTTCCTCACTCTCCTCCTCTTCCCCAACCTCCTCCACGTGTTTCCCAAAAGCTTTCCAAGCCGAGTCGGTGAACACTCGTTCCGCAAGGACCTGACCCAACCTTCGGCCAGCAGGCCCCAAGACGCCTCCAAAAGCTCACAAGAGCCCCCAAGGGACCCCGAACACGCCCATTCCTCACTCTCCTCCTCTTCCCCGTCCTCCCCCACGTGTTCCCCGAAGGCTTTCCTAACCGATTCGGGGAATACATGGTCCAATAGCTTGGCAGGGCTCTGGCCTCAACGTTCGGCCACATAGGCGGTTCCGAAAGGGCACGGGGCGGCGGTGACTCGCCGTAGGCGTCTTCGACACAGCTACCTCTCCCAGGGTGCGTTCTGACTAGGATGTCGGGGCGAATCAAGCGGTGGCGACGAGGGCCTCAAAGAAAGGCTAAAACGAGGCAGGGATAGCGGTATCGGTACATCTTCTGCCTCTGAACGACACCGACGCGGGAGAAGCCACCACCACCGAGGGCGGTGCGCTCAGCATCAGCAGCATGCTCCAGCCGAAGCCGTGCCCGAGCTGCTGCGCGAGGCCCTTGAGGACGGCGTGGTCCCCGAGCCACCTGCCGCGGACAGGTCTCCACAGAAGCCCTGACCCAAACTCCCACACCGACCCTCTTGCTCTGCGACCCCCTGCGAACCCTGCACGTGCGGGGCCAGTCGAAGCTGGAATGGGGGACCCCGTGGGGGTTCGTGGGGAAACCACAAGGTACCCATACCGCCACTCCCTGGACCTCTCGGGGGGAGTTCCGGCCAGAACTTCGAGGCGAATCCAGCGGTGACGACGAGAGCATCGGAGGAGGCTCAAAGAGGGGAAAACGGGCGAAAGGCAGCGATGTGGACATATTTTCCTCCTCTGAGTTCACCCGGCTGCAGACACCCTTCAAATGTTTGAGCCCCCGCTGGTGCTCTAGAAATCTAACCTGCATGGGCAAGGTTTACAATTGGTTTCTGACCTGCGCGACATGAGCTCCAGAGAAGCACCAGCTTCACGGCAGAAGGTCCGCAGTGGGAGCTGTGCAGTCGCGCACCCCCCCAGACCCCAGACTCTATGGCGAAATACTGTGCTGCAGAGCTCGCCTGGCACCCCCAGGCTCCGTGCAACACGCCATGCCATATTGAATACGCCTTGCGGCAGACATGCGCGCCTGCCCCCCCTTTCCTCATGGAGCTCGCCCCCCGTGCCAACAAAATCCGTGCAGCAATCTCTGCCAGACAAGGGACAAGACGGAATACCACAGGCTCGCGTCGTGACGACCCCTGCGCTGGTTCCCGACACCGCGTGGATCGTTCAACATCGAATGATCGGCGGCTTTTCGATCGCCCGATCGTTCCATGCAGACCGATTCTGTGCCACGGGCGGCATTCAACCTCGAACGCCCGAGGCGCAGCCGCCGCCGGTCGACACGACGCGAACCTGCCGTACTCGAGTTGGCCCAAAAAGGGGTCCAGCGACAAGAGGATGGTGCAATAGATCTGGTGCAATAAATGTGTGGGGTTACAATACATTTGGGGCGTGTATTACATTCCGGGGCGCAAATGCGTTGCTGGATTTTCGCGCGCCATACATTACTTGTAATGCAGTGCAATACTATTCTCCGGCGCAGTACATTTGCAACACACTTGAGCCCCAATGTCTTTTGCACCAACCCCTTGCAGCTGGATCCCCTCTTGGGGTCGACCAGACGCAGGCTCCTGGGTCACCTGCCTCCGCGCCTCGCGCCCCGCGCAGCACATCTGCGCGCCCTCGCCCCGTCGCACCGCCCCCCTCGGCGCGCGCGAAAGCGGCCCCCACGGGTGGCCCCCCGATCGGAGGGCCATCCAGCCCAAGAAGCCTCCAGGAGGCCCCAATAGGCCCCCAGCCCCCAAGAGGCTCCAAGAGGCCCACGAGAGGCTCCAAGAGAGGCCCCAAGAGGCCCCGAAACGGCCCCCGAAAGGCGTCAAAAGTGCTGCCAGGAGGCCCCCGAGAGACCTACCAGGAGCCCCCCAAGGGGTCGGCGGTGCGGCGTAAGCCCAAGAATCAAGCCTGACGAACGTCTTCTAATTCGGCGATTCGACATTGGGCGGAAGGAGGGGGATGGGAGGGGGGGGGTCTGGCTCCTGACCTCTGCTCGATGCGACTGTTTGCAACAGTGCGTCCTGTGGGGAAGACTCCGCGTGCTTGAAACAGGCGCAAAAAGCAGTCAAGATCTACTCCATGAAGGGGGGGAGGGGGGGCGAGGGCCCGCGCCGATCGGCAAAACAATGTATAAGAAAATGATGGCCTACACGGATGGTTTCTTGTGTGCCACGCGCAGGCAGCGTTCGCCCTCCAGGGGCTCTTCAGCCCGCATGGCACTGCAGTCACTCGCACGTGGCGTGCCTGACAGATCCACCTGGCGGCGCGCACAAGGAGGCAGGGCCGAGGGGGGAAGGCTCCTCCAAAGGCGGCCGCTTCTCAGAAGGCGACGGCCCCACATCTACAGAGAGGGCCCGCGCCTTCTGAGGAGCAGGGGTGCTGCTAAGAAGCCGTTCCCCCTCCCCCTACACCTTATGCGATGCTTAAGAAAACCTACGTACTCGTCCAGAGTCTCGATTATTCTTAATTTTTCAATGTAAATCCCAAGATTTTGATAGAAGTTCTGCGTTACATTCAATTTCTGAGACTATGAATTTCTTAACCCATGATTTCTTAAGCATTTCGCAGGGTGTACCCCCCTCTGCGCGTGGCTGACAGCTTGCCCAGGAGTCCGCTCCGACCCTGCTGTGACTCGACCCCATCCGCCCAGTTGCCCTGCCGTGGTCCTCGAGACGCCCTCGAGCCCGGCGCCCCCGCAGTGGCCAGGGCGGCAGGCGGCCAGGCGACGCCCTCGATGAGGAGTGGAGGGGGTAAGGAAGAAGACGTGCCCAGAAGCTGTACGTGCCCGTGGGCAGACTCCGGTACGCAGCCTTGTCTTGATCGCTGGAACTTATGTTCGTGATCCTGTCTCTCTCTCTTCGTTCATTGCTGAGAACATTGCCCTGGGCGAAACTGTCCAAGCATTGGGCACTGTATCATCATTCCGTGCGCGGCCGCTGATTCAGTGACTTAGGGGTACGAATTGAATTTCGAGCCTTTCCCCCCAAAATGGCTCCAAGAGACATCCAGAGGCCCCCGAGGCGCCTCCGAGAGGCCCCAAGAGGTCCCAAGAGGTCTCCACAAGGCTCCTAACAAGCGCCCCCCCAAAGGGGCCCTTAAGAAGCCCCGAAGCGCCCCCCGAGTGCCCCCAAGAGCCCCCCATGAGGCCCAACCTGGGGGGTCGGCGGAACGGCGTAAGCCACTCCAGGAAAAATCGAAAGGGGCGGAAGAGCGGGGAGGGATGAAGGGGAGAGATAGAAGGAGGCTGCGGCACCCCGGAGGAGGCCCGTGTGGAGAGGCTTGTCCAGACAGAATAAGCCCAGACGAAGACCGAGCACTCCGTATGGGCCTACTCCGTATGGACTAAGCCTCCTCTGAGGAGAGGCTAAGTCCACACGGAGTAAGCCTAGATGGAGACCGAGCGCTCAAAATGGCCTTCCCCCCCATGGACTCAGCCTCTCCCGACCGGAGGACACCCGAAGTAGTGCTGCAGGATCTCCGGGAACGCCGTCCTGTTCGAGTTCCACAGCTCCTCCCGGAGGGCTGAGGGGCAACCATATGGGGGGGCAGGCATAGGGGGGGGGGGGGGGGGGGGGGGGGGGAAACATCGACCTGGAATCGGCGATGCATCGCCGATAGATCGGCGACAGGCCCGCGATAGCAAAACCTCACGCTCCAGGGCGGGGTGGGGCTGTCAGACCCCCTATCGGCGATGAGTGGGCGATTGGGGGCCGATGCACCCCCCCTTTGCCTAACCCCTGTGACGTTGAGCCCTGGCTTCCGAATCACAGCTCAGCTCTCCGACGGCCGTTCGGGACGAGCCGGGCACTTCCTGGAACGCTCACGGCGAGGCGCAGCTGCTAGAGAGCATCCCGAGGCTGGAAAGCCGCCGAGGGGCGACGAAAACGCCCGCAAACCTCGAAAACCTCGAGACCGAAGCTCGTCCCCCAGCCCCCTGTGCCTGCCCCCCCCCCTAATTATCCTGGCCCCGGAAGAGGGCGCGCCCTCCAGGGGCGCCGACGCCCCTCCGGCGCGTGCCTCCGCCCTCCCGCCCCCTCCCCGCGGCGCCAGCCCGAGCCGATCCGCGCCTCTCCCCCCCCCCTGGTCGTCCATCCGCGCCGCTTCCCGCGGGGTCCTGCCTCCCTCACTTGATCTCTCTATCCCCCTCTCTTTTTTTTTCTCTCTCTCTCTCTCTCTCTCTCTCTCTCGCTCGCTCTCGCACTCGCTCGCACGGTCATCTTCTCTGTTTCGCTCTCTATTTCTCTCTCTCTCTCTCTCTTTCGCTCTCTCTCGCTCTCTCTCTCTCTCTCTCTTTCTACCTCTGTCTCCTCTCGCTCTCTCTCTCTCTCTCTCTGTCCCTTCTTCTCTCTCTCTCTCTCTCTCCCGTCCGCCAACAGAAGAGCCCGATGGGGACACCTACATCACCTACGCGGACCCCAACGGGAGCCAATGGGCCTACGCGGCCACCGTGGGAGCGTGCTCGCACCAAGCCATCCCACTGCTCGCGCTCGCTGCCTACGGGATCGATTATGGCAGGGATCACCGCCTCAACTACGCTGCCCGAGTCCATGGACTCACGCAAACTGCCCAGAGAGCCGAGACCCTGGCTATCCTCCACCTCGCCGCCACCGCCGAAGGCCCCGTCCACGTCTTCGCCGACAACCAAGCCGTGGTCGACGGAATCCAGAGGATCATTGACGGCCTCACCCCGACTACTGATGGACCACAGGGTGACCTCTGAACTCGTATCAAACGCTGCGTTCTCACCAAATCAGACTTCTTCCGAGTGGAAAAGGTCACGAGTCACCTGGGAGACGAGGGCGTCAACGCTGACCGCATCAGCGTCATAGCCGAAGACTTCAACCACAAAGCAGACCACCTTGCCACCGACGCGATTGCTCTCCACCACCTCCCACACCACCGATTCGAAGAAGCGCAACAGCGACACCGATTTGCGGTGATTCCACACAGCGTCGCGACTACCATCTACGACAAACGACACCGCACGGGGCTGGGTTCACTGACGCCCATCTGAGCAAGCTCGAACCCAACCCTCTTCTAGAACGGCGGGCGCCCCCCCCTCCACCAGCCAAGTGTCCCCAGCGACCCCGACGCCTCTGGGAGGAAGCCCACCGCGCCTGGGCCAACACTGACGACGACGACAACGACGACGACGACGACGACGACGACGACGACGACGACGAGGACCCCTTTGGCTTCGGGGGAAGTATGGACGATCTGGAAGGCCCCCCTACGCAACGTCTTCCAGTACAGCACCGACAACGAGCCCCCGAGACACTGGGCCAGGCGCGCCGACCACGGGCGGGCCCATGCGGGACATCGCGAGCGCGACCCTCGATGGGGGAGGATCGTGGGCCAGCCCAACGGGACATTCTTTGGGCACTGACCGTAATCGCGCCCCAAAGGGAGTTTGACCAGGCACCCTCCCGAAGTAACACCGCCTCCATAGAGAGAAGGGGGAAAGCCCCCACTCCATCTCCTATCGCGGCGGGCGCCAACTGTGCCCGTCTCGAGCACGAAGAGTAGAATCGCCAAACTGGAGTGACTCCGACACTCCCCCCCCGAGGGTGCGCTGATAGCTACTGTTTTCGCTAACCAGTCCCAGGCTCACCCACTTGACAGTTCGCGGGCGACCCCAGGGCCACGAAAAATCAGTGTCAAAACCGAACCAGCGACAGCTCAGCCCAAGGCCGAGCAAAACGCCACCCAAAGTACTGAAAACCGCAGCCCGAACAGGAACCATGGCATGGTAACCCAAGCGGGCCCAAGGCTGCACAAGCACCATAACCGTGGCCAAAGGCGCGACAGGGACCTTGCCTCTCCCCTCACGACCGCCCGCGCCCATAAGCCAAGCTCGGCGCTGTGTCTCTTGGGTGACCTCTGACCCCAATCAAGGCATACCCCGGGCACAGCCACCAACAACATAGTCAAGGCTGAGCCCTGGACGCCCCCCGCTGGGGGTCAAACGCTCTCGCCACGCCCGCCTGGACCGACGGTGCTCACTGGCGGGACTGCGACACACCCTCCCCCGAAGGCGGGGCGATCGCTTCTGACCTCGCAAACCAATCCCAATCCCAGCGGTTGGCTAGGCCGGGGGCGTTCCCAAGGCCACTAAAGGTCAGGGTCAAGCCCGAGCCTGGGACGTTGCAGCCCAGCGCTGGGCAAAACATCACCCAAAGTACTGACAGCCGTGGCCCAAACAAGAACCATGGAGTGACCGCCCAAGTGGGCCAAGTGCTGCACAAGCACCCCAACCAAGGCCAAGGGCGCGACAGGAACACGGCGTCCCCCCCCGACGATTGCCCGCGCCCATAAGGCGGGCTCGGCCCATGGCCCAGCGGTAACTCATCCCAGGCAGCGCCCAGCCCTGGCACACCCACCACCCCTATAGCCAAGACCGAGCCCTGGACGACATCCGCAGCGGGCCACTCACTCGCAACTGGTCAGCTCGGACCTACGGCATCTTCTCACGGCGACCCCACGGCGGAGAGCGTGCCCACACGTAGCACCGACCGCCCCGCCAACCTTGCCTCCCACTTCGCAAACACTTCTGGTACTGGACGACCGCGACACGCTCCCAGCACGGCCCACGGCCGCGCCGCGGAGCTACAAGCGTTCTCCAGCCGCCTTTGCCAGCAACTCTCTAACCTCACTCGGAAGGTCTCTCTCTCTCTCTCTCTCTTTGCCAACCTGTCACCCGATGGAGCGGCACCCTCTCTTTACACGATCCCCTCCCCACCTAGCCACCGAGCCTTGCGGGTTCACCCTCGCGCCAGTCCGACCCACCGCGCGGCCGCGCGGCACCGGTGCCTGGCCGCGGGGACGGGCGGCGCCCCGCTTCCACAGGCCGCTTTAAGCGGCTCGGCCCGCGTCCCCTGGTCGACGAACGGGGCCTTCCCGACCTGGGCCCCTCCACCGCGGGGCGCCGAGAGTTGTGGCGCACCGCCTGCTCGGCACCCCACCTCTGCACCTCAGTCGCTTGGCACCAGGGGGGGGTATTTCATCGTTCCCCATTCCCCAAGGTGGGCACCACCGCTGAGCGTGCTCTTGCGGTCCTGGCAACCGTAGTTGCCGGCTACGACAGAACCGCCGTCTACGTGTCCGATATCTCTCTCTCTCCCCTCTCTCTCTCTCTCTTTCTCCTAACTCTCCTATCTTTCTCTATGTATATATGTATATATATATATATATTACTATTTCTCCATCTCGTTATCTCTCTCTCTCTCTCTATCTATCTAACTATCTCTCTCTCTATCGCATTACCTCGTTATTCTCTCTCTCTCTCGCTCTCTCTCTCACCCTCTCTCCCGATATTTATCGCATTGTCTTGCATTATCTGGCATGCTCTTCTTCTGTCTTGCATTATCTGTTTCTCTCTCTCTCTCTCTCTCTCTTTCCTAACTACGCATCACACCTGCTGCGGTGGGAGAATCTGAGGACGACCATACAGGCATCAGCCGTGTGATAGGCCCGCGGCATCCATTCGGTCAGACATCCACGAAAGGCAAATGGCTGATGGTGCAAGTATAGCAATTACAGGCGTTTGAACAACGCTAACGGCGCGAACGAAATCCGCGCCAGTAGATTTCGCATCGGCAGAGAGCCGTAAAATCCACTGGAAGAAACAATGGACAGCATTTACGGCGCTGATTAGAAATCGTGCAATATCTTGCAAGCCCGTTGCGCAATATCGGTGGCGACCTTCGGACAAATGAGCATGAAGCCCACTGCGGATCAGAGAGCCCGGCGCGTAGGGCGAACGGGGGGAATCGCAAAGAAGGGGTAAACGGTACAGCAAACAACTCAGCTGCATGCAGGCCATCTTACTGTCCCCTGGAGGCGCTGGGAGCCGCCACGCATCGAGGAATATGCTCAGCCGCGGGGACGCAGCGATCTGCACTGAGCAGACTCCGTGACCTCCCAACTCCCACAACCCCCCCCTTGGGAAAACGAAAGGCACCGACACCGCTACTCCGCAGACCTCTCCTGGGGTGCACTCTGACAAGGATGTCGAGGCCAGTCCAGCCGTGGCGACGAGGGCCTCCCAGAAGGCCTAAAAAGGCGAACACGAGAGAATAATAATTGCGGTATCCCCAAACCCCCGACTTGATGATTTTTCAAGGACCGACCACAACGATGTTCAAAACGCGCTGGCGTTTAGAAAGAACAACGCGTTTAACCCGACCGTTGTAAAACGAACGTTTAAAACGAAACCGGACCAAACAAGAACGAAAAACGAAACGAAGTCACCGATTGTAAACAAAACGAAAAACAAAACGAAAAACGAAAAACAAACGAGAAACTAAGCATCATTGTTTCATGGCGTCGACCCCCAGAGGTCTCGACCCCTTCCCTGGGACTGGCCTTCCAGCCCGAGCCGTTCTGTGGACGGCCCTGAGGCCCGTGTGGACGGCCCCCCCGGGAGGCCGAGAACGGCGAGGAGCCTCCCGTCAAAGCTTTGGTTCACAACGCGAGGGGGTCGAAGGATTGCAAAAAAACCGAAGGATTGCAAACAAAAAAAACCTTTTTTGCAATCCTTCTTTTTTTGCAATATTTTGTTTGCAATCCTTCGTTTTTTGCAATCCTTCGGTCTCAGTGTATGTTGCTCCCATCGTACTTAAGGACCACATCCCAGAAAGAACCTCGAGCACCCAGAAGAGTGTCGAAAGAGCGTCGGGAGGGTGTCGAAACAGTGTCGGACGAGTGTCTCCCAGGGCCCGACACGTGAAAACCCTCGAGTTTCGGTACTTGCTCGTGCTCCACAAGTCTTTCTGGTGGTCAAGGCTACGGTAGGTTAGAAAATCATAACTCTGAGCCCTGCCGCCCTCCCCGACCCACTCTGCCTGGGACGCACAAAGACATACTAGTAGTAGATGCTCTCCTTGGGAGGCGCGCGTTCGACCCGAACACATAGCATACCCATCTTGTAGTACATCGTTACCCGAGCGGTGTGGCCAGAAAGCGCCCGCCACGACGCATATGCGATAAGAGTTCTCGGTGCGCGCGTCGCGCCCCTAGGAGGGGGGGCGACGCACACATAGTAGTCTGGAGGCCTCCTAGATGGGATCGGAGTAGATGGGGTCGAAGGATCGCGCCGCATCGCCGATACATCGGCGATGTATATGCGATGCACCGGCGATGCATCGTCAACGTCGGCAAAGCATCGGCGACGTCAGCGTGGAAAAAAGCGGGCCCCGCATCGCGCTGCATCGGTGATGCATCGGCGATGCGGCGCGATCCTCCGACCCCATCCAGGAGGCCTAGATATACTGTAAGATGTCTCGGTGCGCGCGTCGCCCCTGGGGGGGGGGGGCGCGACGCACACATAGCAGTACAGTCGGGGGTGATTGGTTAGGACACGCGATAGAGCACAAGACCCTTCCGAGGGCCACATTGCTATAGTAACGTAGAAAGCACGGATCGCGGAATTACGCGACACAAGGGTACCCTTGATTGGCAGGGTCGACCTACTAAGCAACCTCGGCTGTCACATGCTGGGGTGACGCCGGCCTGCACCCCGGGCGGGGGCCGCGCGCCGCCGTCCTCCAGAAGCACGGCCTTGCGCAGGTGGCAGGCCTGCGTGCCGGCAGAGGGCGGAGGCGGCGGGAGCTCGGCCAGGGCGGCGGAAGCTCCGCGAGGACGGGGGGCGTCCAAGAGGCGGGCGTCCAAGAGGGGGGATGAGGGAGGCAAAGGGGGAGGAGGAGGGGGAGAGGGGGGGGGAGGAGGAGGAGGAGGAGGAAACGGTCTTAGGACCAGTCCTGTTCACCGTCAATAGAAAAGAGAGGGGGGGATCAAAACTAAAGACCTCCTGAGGTCAGTCGAGTTCCTTCCTGTCGCGGGCGTCCAAGAGGAGGGGGTCCAGGACAGGGGGGCGCAAATCGTGGCCGCCGGCATATGCGCGGCCCAGGGGGGGGGGGCGGGGACGTAATGGAATAAGAAGAGGCGCCATGAGATCTGCGGAAATATCATGGCCCCCGCCATGATAACCCCCCCCTAGTCGTCACCCCCCTCTTGGCCGCCCCCGAGAGAGGGCGGCGGGGGCGGCCTAACAGCGGTGCCGTCGCACCGAGAGCCCAGCCTGAGATCCTGGCGCTGCAATCGCTTCACGGCGGGCAGTTTCGCCCCATTCCAGGCCCCCGAACCCTCACGGATCAATGCGGCTCGAAAGATGATGCAGAAAGATAGGGGCGGGCCTTCTCAGAAGGCTCAGAAGTCCCCCAGCCTTCTGAGAAGTTTTCTAGGCCTTCCCCGAAGACACAGAAAACTTCTCAGAAGTGCCGCCGCCTTCTGAGAAGACCTTCTCCTTCTCACTTCCCTCCCTCGCTCGCCGACGACTGGTCGTGATATTTTGCGATGCTGCCACTTTTTCGCAGCGTCGGATCCAAGAAGTGCTCGACGAGGACCTCCGAGCGGCCCCGCCAGGGCCACGCCGCGAGCCTTGGCCGGCCGCGCAACAGCTCCCGAGCCCGGGTCAGAGGAGGGGGCGGAGGCGGCGCGGAGTCTACCAGGGCTGGACCTAAGCGTTGTTTTTCGTTTTCAACCTTCGTGTTGTTCGTCTCTCTGCTCCACCAGCTTTCCTGCGCCTCCCTGCCGAAACGAAAGACAGAACACGGCCCAAGTCCAGCCAGGCAGCGTCAGGTCCAGCCCTGGAGTCTGCACGCGACTCCCAAGCCTGGACGGGGCGAGGCCACGCAACCATGCACGGAGGCGCGCGGAGGGGCGACGGGCCATGCCTCCACGCAACGGAATCGGCGCGCTCCGTCGCCAAAAGTAGGCAGCACTGGCCCCCTGCCGCGGTGGCCTTCCCCAGATGCGTGGGTCCGGCGCCCACGCGCCAGATCCACGGATCCGTTACCCGTGTTGCTCGGTTCGGCCAGAGGGGATCGGACGGGATTGGCCGACCCCCGAGAGGGTCGACCCCCGTTACCTGCGCCCGCGGCCCCTGGTTCCCCCACCCCACGCGGCCCGAGAGCGATGGACCCGCCGCACGGTCGAAGCACATTCTGGACACCCTGCCTTTTTGAGCGGAGGACCTCAACGACTTCTGGACGTCGGTGGCGGCACCCCTGGAAGGCTGCCTTCGACGCGCGGGCGATGAGACTGCTGAGAGGGTCTCGGTGCCAGCCTTTAAGTCTTTCCCCGCTGCATTCCCAGGCCAGCTCGCCGAACAAGTGAGTAGACAAATCCACCACCAGGAGAAGGAGGGAGAAGGGAGAAGGTTTGGCTCATGGCCACTAGCAGCTGTAGCGGGGAACGGCGTACGAAAACGAATGCGGCGATGCGTAATCGGCATGAACAAGAGAGAGGGACAGAGGCAGAGAGGGAGAGGGAGAAGGGAGAAGAGAAAAGGGAAGGGAAAGAAAGGAGAGAAAGCGGGGGAATGGTAAGGAAGGATATATAGAGAGAGATGCGCAAGAGAAAAAAACAATGTGTGAAATATCGAGAGATATAGAGAGAGGAAAAAAGAGAGCGAGAGAGAGAGAGAGAGACGCACCGATTCGGACCGCGGGGCCGCGCGGGCGCTGGGCTAGCGAGCGCTCCGCGCAACACTCGTGGCTGAACACGGCAATGCAAACAAAAAAAAAACTACACGGGCGGACCCTGGCGCACGGGAGCGGACGACGCGGTGCGTGGCCCCCGAGCCTCGCTGGGTGCTGAGCTCCCTGTGGAGGACGGCGCGCAGGTAGAAATCGCCTTCGGCATCACGCCGCTGCGCGGGGAGGCGGAGGCGCCCCGTATCGCAACCCAAACGAAGCCCGATACGACTGTAGCGTCGCGGGGACTGGCGCCGCGCACGCCGACAGCTGAAGCTGCAGGGCCAAGGAAGACGAGGAGTGACCAGGCGAGCTGCGCTCGCAGACCCTGGCGCACGGCCGAGACGGGTGCGACGGAATGGACGACGCGGTACATGGCCCCCGAGCTGCGCTCGGCTCGAAGCTCCGTGTGGAGGATGGCAAGCAGAGTAGGAGGCGAGTTTGGCATGGGGCCACTGCGCGGCAAGGGCGAGGCGCCCCCCATGGTATCCCAAGCGGAAACCTAAACAGCGATACAGTGGAGGTCCGACCACAAGAAACCTTCCACAAAAAACAACCCTGAGACCACAGGACGTCCACTCATTTTTGGTGTGGGAACGTCACGTTTTCCAGAGAAAAACCATTCAAACACAAGAAACCCAGAGCACCTTGGAGGCAAGCATGGTGTTTCCTGGCATGGGCCCCCACTGTAGACGAAGGCCTTACGGCCTGGTCGAGGACGAAGCACCCCAGCGACGACGCTGCAGCGTCTCCAAGATGGAGCTGGGGTGAGGCGGCGGCCAGGGCTGTAGCGGCAGGAGACTGGCTGGGCGAGTCTCGAGCGGCTTACGCGCGCTGGAGGCGAGTGAGGAGCGGGGCGGTGCCAGCCTGAGCCGCGCGATACGAGAGGAGGAGGAGGAGGAGGAGGAGGAGGAGGAGGAGGAGGAGGAGGAGGAGGACCCTTCCTCCCCTCCCCCCCTCTCGTTCCTTCCCCCTCCTTCCTCTCCCTCCTCTCCCTCCCTCCCCTGCCCCCCCCCCATCCGCTACCATCCCTCCTCTCCCATCCCCCCCTTCTGACTTCTCCCCCCCCATCTGGGCGTGGCTGACCTCTCCCTCCCCCGTCCCTGCCCTTCCCTCGCTCCCTCCGATTCCCCCCTCCCCTGCGGGAGGGCGAAGAGGGACGCGGCCCCCCCCGCGGCCCGGCGGGGTGACCCCACCTGGTAGTCCTTCTGGCCGGCCCTGGCGGCGAAGTATGACGGCTGCCCGCCCCGACCGCTGCAGACGCCGCGAACGCCCAGGGGGGAGGCGGAGGAGGATGAAGAGGAGGAAGGGGAGGAGAAGGAGGAGGAGGAGGAGGGAGGGAGGGAGGGAGGAAGGGAGAGACGGAGGAGGAGGAGGAGCAGCAGGAGGAGGAGAAGGAGAAAAAAGGAGGCGAAGGAGGAGGGAGAAGAGTTGAAGGAAAAGGAGGGGGAAGAGGAGGCGAAGGAGAAGAATGAGGAGGAAAAGGAGGAGGAGGAGGAGGAGGACGAGGACGGAGGAGGAGGACGAGGACAAGGAGGAGGAGTAGGAGGAGGAGGAGGAGGGAGTGAGGGAGGGAGAGGGAGGGACGGAGGAAAGGGGGGGGAGGGAGGGAGGGAAGGAGGGAGGCAATTGAGGGGACGGGAGGGAGGGTGGGGGAGAGGGGAGGGGAGGGGAGGGAGGGAGGTGGAGGAGGAGGAGGAGGGGGGGGAGGAGGAGGAGGAACAGGAGGAGGAGGGGGAGGAGGAGGAGGAACAGGAGGAGGAGGAGGAGGAGGAGGAGGAGGAAGAGGAGGAGGAGTGGCAATAGGGAGGGGCCCAATCGCACCATGCCGCGGTAGACTGCCCTCCCGGGCGGGCGCCCCGAGCACCATCGGAGGCCCCGAATGCGATACCGTCGTAACTTCTTGCACTTCCCAGCATCCAGGCTGTCGACGGGGAAGCACCCACCCTCGAAACTGTCATCACTCACAAGCAACATGCACTTGATCTCGACTGTGTTCTTCGCCGCACGCTCTGCTAACGGGTGTACGGTCAGCGAGGCATTTCTGCCACTATGGCGTCTTCGGGCTGTACCGAAATAAGCTGCGGAAAAGGCTAACTTGAACTCGGCACTGCATGGAAACTGTCATCCCTCGTCAGGCCCCAGGTATCCACGCAGGGGCCGCCCAAAGGGCCCCGGCCGCCGTCGAGACCAAGTGCTCCAGCCAGCACACCAGCCAGCCCAACCAGCCCGACCACCCCGACCGCAAACCCGCCAAGCAGCCCAAGCAGCCCAAGCCGCCCACCACGCCAACCCGCCTGCCCCGCCTGCCCTCCTTCACCGCGCCCCCCCGCGGAGCAGGGGCGCGGGGAGCGGAGCGGGGAGCGGAGCGGGGCGCTCGGGCAACTCGCGAGCTGCGGCGCTCGGAGGCCGAGGGAGGGAGGGGGAGGAGCAGGAGGGGGGAGCAGGAGGGGGGAGCAGGAGGAGGTGGAGGGAAGGAGGAAGGAGGAGGAAACGGGAGGAGGAGACCAAGGAGAAGGATCAGGGATCGGGAGCAGGAGCAGGGGCATGCGGAAGACTACGAGGAGAAGAAGGAGGGTGAGGAGGGGCACGTAAACACAGATAGCATAGCGAGAGGAGGAAGCAGGCGAGACGAAAGAAGCAGGGAGGAGAATGGGGGAGGACGCGAGAGGGAAAGCAGCAGACATCACAGCATTCCAGATAGTAGCTTTGTCTGAGTGTTTTCTGCCCCCCGCGAGGGGCGTTACAGGGTACGGTCGGGCTCCTGAGATCGGGACCGCTAAACAAGGGGCGAGGACCTCCTGTTCGGCACCACAAAGACCTCGCTGCCCTCCAGCAGCTTACGTGCGGCGAGGACCCCCCCCTCCTCCTGGTCGTCGCGGCGGCCTGGGAGTCCGCCAAATCTCGAGGCGGAGGAACGCAGGTCCCGACCTCCGCAGGACCTGCCGCGCGCGCTGCGGGAGCGGCTCGACGCCGCCAAGACGGGCAAGGAGAAGGTCGACTGGAGCCTGCCAGAAGCACAGGCCACGCAGTGGCCTAAAGGAACAGCGAGCCCCGTGCGAGCCCGAAGCCGTCCTTGTGTCGGCGTGGTGGCTCTGTTTGGCTCCGGAGAGAGGGGGCCTTTCGTAGTGGGATCGCGAGCAGAAGATGCAGTAGCTCATTCTGTGGTTCATAGCGCGTGGCAGCCACGTGCCGATAGTGGATGGCGTGCGCACCCCGCACGAACCGATTGCACGGACCATCGCGTGCACGTTTGAAACCTCTTCTGCAAAGGACCCATTCGCCCGAATTCGAGGCATGCTTATGCCGATGTGTATTCTTCGAGCAGTGGCTACCTACCAGATCGCCCCAACCCAACCCGAAGACTCGAATTTCGGGCTGGGGGGTACAGGTTTCATACGTGCTTGTTTCAATATTCCTCGACCCCCCCCCCCACACGCTGGGAATGGAGGGCAAACTGAGGCCTTCGTTTTGGGCTTGGGTGGTTTGGTGGGTGGTGAAGCATAGGGGAAAGAACAATTACATCAACATAAAAGCTCGGAGGTCCGCGCGGGTTTCTCGGATGGGCGCTGGGGCCCCCTGGCGCGCTCCGCGCGCCAGGGAGGGAGCCCAGCGCTGGTCCAAGAAATCCGCGCGGACCTCCGAGTTGTTACGTTTATGCCATTCTTCGTTCCCCGAAACCAGGGGACCCTAAGCTTAGGTCGGGCGTGTCCCCCTGCAGGGGGATCCTGGGCGAAAAACTAAGAATACTCAGAGGATGCCTCCCTCATGGGCAAAAAGACTCGAAAAATTGCCCCCAGACTAGTTTTGGACTACTCCTGAGTTTTCCTCCTGTAGAGGGACAGGCCCCGCTGAACCCCAGAGCAGGGGATCCCAAGCTCGCGGCGGCGCCTCTCCCAGCGGGGGCACGCGAAGTCGTCGAGCCCCGCTCTCCTGCGCGGCTTCGGCACGGCCCCCCCGGCAAGAGAGGGCGGGGCTGCAGAGCCGGCCCCCCGAGGCCCCGACCCCGCCTCGCTTCGGGGTGGCCTCGCGTGGCGGGCCAAGCTCCGTGACCGCTGCCCCTGCCAGGGCTGGACCTCAACGCTGTGTCTCGTCTGTGGTCGGTTTGTTGTTCGTTCTGCTCTGCCCGTTCTTCTGTGCCCCCCTCCCGGAGCGAAGAGCAAGACAGAGCCGAAGTACGGCAAAACAGCGTTCAGGTCCAACCCTGATATCCATGCAACTACCCCTGATGATGCCTCCTGCCCGTGACGACTACTACCCGAGAGACGGCGTGCGGATCGGGAGAAACGACGGCTGGCACCTGCGCGTCGCAGAGCGGGAGGAGGAGGAGGAGGAGGAGGAGGAGGAAGACAGTGGGCCCCAAAGAAGGCCGTGCGCGCCCACCGACGCACATGCTTTCGGCCTCCCCGTGCGCCAGGCCAGTAACGTGCAGCGAGATCTCGCGCAATGTGCACTTTCGGGACCAACGTGGATTCGTGTACCTGTGCAGTCAACCCTATCATAAGAATGCGCGGTCAGGATGCAAGGGCCTTGGAAGGCCATGTCGACACTTTGCGAGCGGGGCGCGGCCAGCAAAAGCGGCCAAGGATGGATCGAGGAGGCAAGGATGCAGGATACCCTTGGGAAGGTTCTCCATCCTTACCATGCAGGCTGACCGTACGTCTTCTTTCGCTCTTGAGAAGAGGGACGGCCTTCCCTAGGGAGCCCACAAAGGACGTACGCGCCCAGCTATGTACATGAACACGGCCCCTCGATTCGCGAGACCGGCCGCGTTATACGAACATTTGTGAAATGCGTGCTCTCGAAAACAGCGGGGATTCATGTACATGTACGTCCTTCTTTCGCTCCTGATTCCCTCCTGATCCTGTGACGGGGCGGGGGGGCCCAAGGGCGGCCCACCGGGAACGGGAGGTGAGACCTGGCCCGAGGTCGCCGCGGGCTGTGCTGAGGGCTCAGACCCGAGCCACGAGGGCGACGCCGAGGCGAGGGCGACGGGCGGTGAGGCCAGGGCGGTGCCGAGTCGGGGGGACGACAGGGTAGGGCAGCAGAGGGCAGGGCAGAGAGACAGCTCACGTAGCTCGGTTTCCTGGCGCCGGGAGGCGCCCAAGGTATCGAAGATTGGGCACGACGGCGGGCGGGAACCGGCTGCATGCAGCAAGTTGCGTAACCCACCCTTTCCCTATCCTACCCATCCGTCTGGCCTGGCCCGACTGAGGCGAGGGCGGCTACAGTCAACTCGCATGGCCAGGTTGAGTGACATTCCCAAGGCTGCCCTTGCATTCTTGCCTATTCGGCCTCTTCCATCGGCAGTCCGCGGCTCAGAGAACTTCAGCAAGGGGCGCCACTTGCATCCTTGCCGCGCCTTCTTGCTCTGCGCGTTGACCGCATGCTGAGGCGAGGGCGATCTCTCGGGTGGTCCGTCACCGCGTGGTGACTTCGGAATCCCCGGCGACCTCACCGCGCGGTCCGTCACCGCACGGCCTCGGGACCACGGAACCCCCCGTCGCCCGAGACGTCCTCGGAGCACAGCCCGAGTCCCCAAACCGCGCGGTGACCCCGAGGGGCTCCGCGGAGGACGGCACCTCCCCGAGGAGGGCCGCCGCAGCTTCGCGGCCCTGCCTGGGCCGCGGGCGGGCCCAGAAAGGAGGGCCGCCCTCGGCTCCGGGAGTGGAGTGTGGGGGGGGGGGGGGGGGGGGGGGGCCGCCGCCGCCGCCGGAGCCCGCTCGCGGGGGCCACGGGGCGGGCCAAGGCTTCCGAGGGGGGCAGGGCCACGGCCGCGACAAGCCAAGGGCCTCCTGGATGGGATCCGAATGGATGGGGCCGGAGGATCGCGCCGCATCGCCGACGCATCGGCGATGCATCGGCCATGCACTGGCGACGTCGGCGACACCTCCGCGACGTCGGCGTGGAGAAAAGTGGCCCCACATCGACCCGATTCGGCGATGCATTGCCGATGCATCGGCGATGCGGCGCGAACCTCCGGCCCCATCTGCTCGGACCCCGTCTGGGAGGCCTAGACAAACGGCACGGCCAGGTGATCGGCAAGAGACGTACCCCCCACCCTTTGGGAGCGGACCTCGGATAAGATGCCCAAACAGTAGGGAGAAGGGGGGGACTTCTCTCAAGATGCATCAAGCCAAGTCACCCACAAGTTCCCCCTCCCCCTCCCCCTCCCCCTCCCCCCCCCTCCCCCACCCCGAATACAAGCACGAGGACCTCAGTTGGGCTGCGTCTTCATTGTGTCACTAGGGTTAGGCACTCTTCTGTTCTCGATGACTGGTGGCACGCGCAGACGGCGACAAGCGGCCAGGACAGGAGCGCGGGGGGCCCTGAGACTCGGGCGTTGTCGCCCAGATTCGCGGCCTGGGACCCTCGCAGATCGATCTGGCTCGAAAAATGGCGCAGCACGATGGGGTCTGAAACTCCGGTCGTCGTGTTCCGCTAAATTTAGGTCGGGCATGTGCTCCTACAAGCGGATTTAGGACGAAAAATGACAGTGTAACAAAAATATTCAAAAATAGCCCCCCCCCCCCCCCAAAAAAAAAAAAAAAAAAAAACATTCGAAAAAACATCCCCAAACTGTTTTTCTATATTTTTTGATATTCCTCCTGTTGAGGGACCTGCCCGACTTAACGCGAAGCTTCTCAGGACGTTGGACCTCAAGGTGGGGCGCCGGGGAGCGCATCGACAGAAGAAGGGGTCCATGACAGCTGGGGGACCCTTCGGGGCCCCAGGACCGTGCGGTGACGGACCGCGTGGGGACCCCGGCATTCCCAGTGACCTCACCGCGCGGTCCGTCACCGCACGGCCCTGGGACCACGGAAGCCCCAGGGGCCCCCCGAGACGTTCTCGGAGATCGACTCGGGTCCCAAAAATCTGCGCGGTGGCCCCGGATCCCCCTGGCTCACCACGCGGTGTGGCCACCACGCCGTGTGGGAGCCCCGGCATGTGATGGCCCTGGCAATGAAATCCACACACCTCCACATCCCCCCTCGCAATCAAACGTCAGGTCGGGCCTGTCCCTCTACAGGCGGATTCTGATTGGAAAATCATGAATACTCGACAAAATTTCAAAAAAATAACCAGTCCCCGGACTATGTTTTGACTGTCTTTGGATAGTCCTCCTGTAGAGGGACGGGCCCGACTTAAATCAAACTAGAACCACGCGCGCGCTTCGCGCGCTTAGGTTCTGTCGAGTCACAGACCCAGGAACCGTTGTGAGAAGAATTTGGTGACGCGAAGCGTCGTGGGGGCGTCCTTGGACGTCTGGGGTCTCCTGGGGCCTCTTGAGGGGCCTCCTGGGGGCCTCCTGGCGGCCTCTTGGGGCGGAAGGCTCGAGCTTGCGGTTCGTGGTCCCCCTCTGGGCCCCCTCTTGGGCCCGTCTTGGGGCCCTCTTGGGCCATCTTGGGCGCCTCTTGGGCCGTCTTGGGGCCCTCTTGGGCTGTCCTTGGGCCTCCTTTGGGCCTCTTGGGGGTCTCCTGGGGCCTCTTGAGGGGCCTCCTGATGGCCTCCTGGCGGCCTCTTGGGGCGGAAGGCTCGAGCTTGCGGTTCGTGGTCCCCCTCTGGGCCCCCTCTTGGGCCCGTCTTGGGGCCCTCTTGGGCCATCTTGGGCACCTCTTGGGCCGTCTTGGGGCCCTCTTGGGCTGTCCTGGGGCCCTCTTGGAAGCTTCTTGGGCCGTCTTGGGGCGGTCTTGGGCGCCTCTTGGGCCGTCCTGTAACGTCGGAAAGCCCAAAAGGCGACTTTGTTGAAAAATGTACGTTTTACGAAGGGAATGGGTCAATTTTTGCGTCTAGGGGCCCTCTTGGGACGCATGTTGGAGGCTTCTTGGGGCGTCTTGGGGGCGTCCTTGGACGTCTGGGGTCTCCTGGGGCCTCTTGAGGGGCCTCCTTGGGGCCTCCTGGCGGCCTCTTGGGGCGGAAGGCTCGAGCTTGCGGTTCGTGGTCCCCCTCTGGGCCCCCTCTTGGGCCCGTCTTGGGGCCCTCTTGGGCCATCTTGGGCGCCTCTTGGGCCGTCTTGGGGCCCTCTTGGGCTGTCCTGGGGCCCTCTGGGAAGCTTCTTGGGCCGTCTTGGGGCGGTCTTGGGCGCCTCTTGGGCCGTCCTGTAACGTCGGAAAGCCCAAAAGACAACTTTGTTGAAAAATGTACGTTTTACGAAGGGAATGGGCCAATTTTTGCGTCTAGGGGCCCTCTTGGGACGCATGTTGGAGGCTTCTTGGGGCCTCTTGGGGGCGTCCTTGGACGTCTGGGGTCTCCTGGGGCCTCTTGAGGGGCCTCCTGGGGGCCTCCTGGCGGCCTCTTGGGGCGGAAGGCTCGAGCTTGCGGTTCGTGGTCCCCCTCTGGGCCCCCTCTTGGGCCCGTCTTGGGGCCCTCTTGGGCCATCTTGGGCGCCTCTTGGGCCGTCTTGGGGCCCTCTTGGGCTGTCCTGGGGCACTCTTGGGAGCTTCTTGGGCCGTCTTGGGGCGGTCTTGGGCGCCTCTTGGGCCGTCCTGTAATGTCGGAAAGCCCAAAAGGCAACTTTGTGAAAAATGTACGTTTTACGAAGGGAATGGGCCAATTTTTGCGTCTAGGGGCCCTCTTGGGACGCATGTTGGAGGCTTCTTGGGGCCTCTTGGGGGCGTCCTTGGACGTCTGGAGGCCATCTTCAGCATCTCGGAGCCCTCTTGGAGGCCTCTTGGAAGTTTCTTGGGCCGTCTTGGGCGCTCCTGGGGCCGTCTTGTCTGACCGGGGAGGCCTCCGGCAAGCCCCGACGAGCCTCCGGGCCCCCCGGGGTGCACATTTGCGGTCGGGGTCCCGGCCCGGGGCCCCCGGACCCGGTGCGCCGTTATATGTATACGTGCGTTTCTCCAACGCCCCCGGGCCCCCAAATTTCAGGGTCGACGCCGAAGCTGGCGACTGCAACGTTTTTGTTGCCCCCGCGGGCCGCGCTGCGCGGG